AACTGAATAGTCAGATAAGATTGTTTCCATTTTCTTTTTTTGAAGAAATTCAAACAAGAAATAAAAATATCACAAATACAGTATCAACAGAATCTGAAGGTTGTTTAAAGCAGCCTTATTTAGAATATTTAACTAAAAGAAACATTTTTAATAATAAATGTGTAACAACTTCTTATAACCAAACATAAATCAAATGGCTGAGGCAAAGTCATTTTTTGAATAACAGTTAATATTACTGCTTTAATACCTGTTCAGGAGTTCTGATTTTTACAGACTACTTTCAAATAAAACAACTATATGGACAAAAAAATGTTACCTTGATAATCACTGCTTTAATTCTAGTCTTTTTTCAAATTCCTGTCTCTAGATTGTAGTTCTTTGCTTGGCTTTCTTCTTTTTAAAGATGTTTGTTAGAGAAGAACCCTAATTATTCTGCATTCAATGCTCTTTGGTTAATGTGACTAAAGCAGCTTATCCTGGGGGTTCTAAGTTTTCTTCTAAAGGGAAAAATTACTCTACAATAAATATGGCCGCAATTACTCTCTCATTGGAGACCTGTTATATACGTAACAGAGTTTGCTAACTTAAAAAGTTTGACAGAAAACAGGTTAGCTACCTGTTTAGAATTAGCCAAAGCAAATTTGTTACCGTATTTTAGGGCTCACTACCATTTGAGAAAAGTCTGTCTAGCTGAGAGGAATCTTTCTGACTGGGATCTTATAGAAAACAGGAATAGTTGGTGGTGAGCAGAGAGGTTGCTAAAGACCATCTAAATATATAAAAGGCGAAGTGATCGGCCGACTGGCTGGTAGGTATGATGTGCACTGACCACCGGGGGCAGATGCTCAATGCAGGAGCTGCATAGACAGCAACTTGGCAGTGTCCTCTTACACTCCAAGACCCCTCGGGGGATGTCAGATTGCCAGTTTTGGCCTGATCCCCGCAGGCCAGGCCTAGGAACCCCACCTGCCGGACGGACCCACTCACTCCACAGATGCCCTTTGAGCTGCAGACCCAGGTGCAGCCAGCTGGGAAGGGACCGCAGGAGGTTGGCTCCAGGGAGTGTTCAGCCCATCTCGCCCCGCTGCCACCTTCTAATTAATTTCCTTTCAATGTGCACGAATCTGTGCACCAGGCCTCTAGAAGTTTTATACTATGCCCCAGTTGTTCTAGAATAATTATTAAGGCATTTTTTACTTTTGTGGAATGTTGAAAAAAAAGCAAAACCTGTACTTGTGCTTCATTATTTATATTATTAAAATTCCACTAAACTAATGGCATAAACTGAAGACTTTGTTTCCTATTATTTGCTACAAAATCATTAAAAACTGTTTAAATTATGAAATACAAATACGAAAGATACAATATTGTGAAAAGTGCTCTTATGGAAAAAGGTATAAAATGTGCTTAATTTCAATATAATAAACCTGTTTCAAACAAATTTTAGAAATCTCTTCTCAAAGACAAACACTGAAAATATAAAAACACTTATATTTTATAAGTAAAATTTAGAAAATATTGAAATTAAAGGAATTTTTCATGTAAGACAGTAAAATTATAATTACATGTCAAGAGTTATAAAATTGTTTTGACAACCAACTCAAGTAAAAAATATCCTATTTTAATCTAAGTTAAATGGCATAACATTACCATAAACAATGTACCAAAAATATCAGAAACAAAATTCTTAAAGATTTTACTGCTGTTTAACCTTAACCATAGTAAATGTTATATTTAACTCTCCTTATTCCTTTAGCATAATCTCAAAGAAAATCTTTATATAATTGTAACAGTTGTATAGCAACATTTCAAAAAATAAATTTCAAAAAATATTGTTAATGTTTTTGATAGCTAGGTGGGTAGTAAAAATAGCCTAGTAGAGTGTTAACTAAAATAATAGCATGGGAATAATTCTGGTATTTTGGGTATCAGGAATTTTTACCCATTGCATATGCTGCATTTAACAATTTTATAAAGGCTATATGATTTATATTTCCTACCACACTTACATATATTTAAAATGTTAACATAAAAGTATATTACTACAATACACTTGGAAAAACTTGTAAATCTCCTTTATTTTAGTAGACAGAAGACTGTTTCAAAGTCCTTGCTGAAAGGGTTCTTGTTGTTGCCATGGAACTGGAAGATAAAAACCCACAAAGATTTGAGATAAGTTAATGATGCAGACTAAATGGCACATAACAGTATAGTGGGTGGAAAGACATGAGTTAAGTTAAAGCCAAAGTTCAAATTCACATTTGCCCTTTACTAGCGATGGGACCCTGACAAAGTGATTGAAGCTCCCCAAGGAGAAATTTCTTCATCTGCAAAAGAATAGTATCTACATCTCTCAGGTATCTTGTTTAGAATTAAATGGAATAAAGGATGTAATGTGTCTGGCCCCAGGGCTCACTTAGTCCCTCCCTTTAGTTCCATTTATGGTGCTGAATTCAAATATTACGAACAAAACACAACAGCAAGTGGGTCACAGGGATTTTCATATCTTTAGAAATATGTAGTTTCTGTAAGTGTGGCATTATCTGCACTCATAAAAACTAAAAGATGTGCTTCCATTGCCTCCTAATATTTTTAGAGTTACTTTTGGATACTATAATAAGTAGATAATCATTTATTTTTACTTGACTAATATAACCAAGGAGGTAACAATTAAAAATTTTGAGCCTCAAAGCTGGACTTGATTCCAGAGATATCTTTTTTAGCATCACAAACAGCTTAATTATTAAGAACACAAGAAAGCTCAAACTATGAGAAACTTTATGAAACAATTACATTCAAGGTGTCTACTTTAATTCATAGGTTTGCCATATCCATGCTTGGTGTGTTTATCATTGCAGCAGCAATCAAATTCAATTATATGCAATGTATCAAATTAGCCAAAAAAGGATATATACTCTTCCAGCCCCACTCCTGTTTCTTTCTCCCCTTCTTCAGAGTTTTTTCAGGTTCTGTTTTTTGGTGAAAATTTGCCAGTACTTTTTCAATTCATTTGGTGGGGTAGAGAGGGAAGGGAAAGATACATATATAATTGCAACACCACACAACACTCACATGCCTTATCATGTGAGAAGTGTACACAAAAAGTGCTATGGGAGGAAAAGAGGAAATGTCACATGGGAGAACAGTTAGGAGTTCAATACTAGCTAGGATTCAGAGGTAGAAGTGGTAGGAGATGAGGCTATACTGTATAGCCAGGACTGTGAAGGTCCTGCACTCCAAGCTAATTTGAATTTTATCCTATAGGTGTTAGGTGCCGGTGTGCTCCAGTGATCAAATTTCTTTTTCTGTTTTTTTTTTCAAACTCCCTTAGGTCAGGGGTTGTTTCTTTTTCCTTTATTTTTAAATTTACTTTTAAATTATAGTTGACACACAATATTATATTAGTTTCAGGTTTACAATATAATGCTAAGACATTTACTGGTATATACATTATGAAGTGATCATGGTAAGTCTAGTAACCACCTGTCACCATACATACTAGTAGTTATTACAATATTTACAATATCCCCTATGCTGTCCTGATCAGATTTCTTAATAAGAAATAGAATTGTAGCCCAAACCGGTTTGACTTAGTGGACAGAGTGTCGGCCTGTGGACTCAAGGGTCCCAGGTTTGATTCCGGTCAAGCGCATGTACCTTGGTTGCAGGCACATCCCTGTAGGAAGTGTGCAGGAGGCAGCTGATTGATGTTTCTCTCTCATCGATGTTTCTAACTCTCTATCCCTCTCTCTTCCTCTCTGTAAAAAATCAATAAAATATATTTAAAAAAAGAAATAGAATTGTAATAGCTGCTACTTGTCCAAATCAGACAAATGAAATGAGTTAATTCAATTAGCTTTCTCTACTTATTAACTTACAAGAAAATGTAGGACTGAGAAATAACTTTTGAATTTAAAAGATATTCTCTTACATTTCTCTGTTTAACACACTAAGAGATTAATTTTATTAAAAAATACATTTTACCTCTAATGGTAGAATATTTGGGTGTTAGTGGATAACTAGTTTTTGCAGAATTATTGTCTTAAAATTTTGCTTTAACTCTGGTAAATATATATTTCAATTTAATTTTAAAAACCTATATTATAATCATATTTTACAAATAGAATTGAATTTAAGAAAACGTTTTTCAAGTTCTAGTGGCAAACTACCAAATTGTTCTATCAACACATCTCAATTAACTTTATTTTCACTTCTGCCAAGATGGTATATTAGAATACAGACAGAAAGAGAAAGACTGCTTTATTTAATTGAAGTTTCTTTTTCCACCTTGGTTTTTTAGTCTATTTTTCTCCATTTATTAAGATAATGTATGTTGCCAGTGGAAAAATACAGAAAAACACTTTCCACACACCTCAAATTTTATCAATCAGAGGCAGACAAGTTGAAATGTTGGTGTACTTAATTTATATGCATTTCTTTGATTATATAGGTAAATTTATATGACACAGTTCTGAAAACTATCATTAAAAACTTTAATAAGCCCTTTAATGGTTACATCACATTTCATGATATGAATTAACTATACTTTTAAAAAATATATATTTTATTGATTTTTTTTTTTACAGAGAGGAAGGGAGAGGGATAGAGAGTTAGAAACATCGATCAGCTGCCTCCTGCATATCTCCTACTGGGTATGTGCCCGCAACCAAGGTACATGCCCTTGACCAGAATCGAACCTGGGACCCTTGAGTCTGCAGGCTGATGTTCTATCCACTGAGCCAAACCAGTTAGGGCAACTATTCTTTTCTTAATGATACCCCATAAATTGGTTTTTTTTCAAGAATATATTAATGAGATTAACAATTCTCTGTCTTCCCTCATTTGGCAACTAGATTTTCACTTGACAACATAATTTAACTCTGTCTGATATTTGAACAATTCTACACATCTGCACAGAAAAATGACTGCTATGTATCACTACTTGTTGTAAATTCCATTTTATAAATATACAAAGATAAAAGTGAAAACTCAATGAAGCATTAACACTTGTGAAACTCACCATAAGTCCAAGGAACTTGTGGAAGCACACCTGAATTAGGAGGGTAAGGGTATGCAGCTTGTGGTAATGGTTGATAGGAAGCAAACTGTGGAAAAGCTGGCTGCTGAACAGTGTAGGAAATAGGCATCTGAGATGGGAAATACATATTTGCTGGCACAAAGCTACAAGCTTGTGGTCCCCCAGCAAAGCAGCCAAAATATTGAGAATACAAAAGATTAGAATGTGTATTTTGGACAGTATTTGAAACTGCAGTCAACATCTCAGGAGCAAGTGGCTGTACTTCAAATGATGTTACGCCCTGGTATGTCTGGGTAATGGAACTGCCATTGCTGCTGCTGTAATGATAAACACACCAAGCATAGGAAGGATTTAAAGTTCCAAATGAGTGTTCAGAAGAATTATATATTGGGGTACGTGCAGACTGTGGAAGCTCATTCTGGTATCTGGCAGCATTCTGGGTTTGGACTTTGGAACTTTCGTTATTCTGTTGTTCAGAAAAAGAGTATTCTGCTGTTTGATTGACATTAAGGCTTATGTTCTCAGGTGTTTCAACAGGTGCAGTGCTGGGATTCAATGTATCTTTCATATATTTTCCTTTTGACTCAGTTTTTGCAGGTTGTGTTTTATGTATTTGTGGAACAGGTATTTTGTTCTGGATAAATATAGGTTCTGAAGAATTAGTGACTGTAGAATTTGTAATAGATGAATTTAATATTTCATTATCTTGAAGTTCAGAAACAGTGTCATTCATTTCTAAATTGGCAAGGATACCCCTCGCAAAACAGAACTTTGAGGGTCCTGATGCATTAGGCAGAAGAGCAGCATCAGTCCCTGGTTTTATGTCTGAGGGATTTGGGGAATTGTTAAGTAATTTCTGTGAAGGTGTTTCATGGTCTTTTGAAAAGGTGCCATCTACACTTTTTTGGTCATGTAATACAAATGAACATTCTTTCTTATCACTTTTTGTTTCAGCAGCCCTAAAATTCACATCTCTCTTCTTCATGCTATTTACATTTCCCTGTTGTCCAGTGAAATCTTCTGAAGTAGCAGATGAAATATTAGTTAATTCTATTGTTCCCTGTGACTTCAACATGCCAGTGTCTTTTAAGTTCTTTAAAGATAAAGGTGAGTCAGGAAATGATCTTTGCATTTCAACCTTTTTTGGAGATCCACGGTTTCTTCTCTGGTTGTTAGATGAACTTGGTCCTATTTTACTTGCACTTTCGGGATGAGATCTTGTGGTCCTATTAAGTGTAACACACACATACACACAAACATATATACAATTTTAAATATACAGTTGCAAAATTTTAATATAAATATATTTGAAATTTTTATTCAGGAGAAGAGATTCTTTTAAAAAATATATTTTATTGATTTTTTAGAGAGGAAGGGAGAGTTAGAAACATCGATGAGAGAGAAACATCGGTCAGCTGCCTCCTGCATACCTCCTACTGGGGATGTGCCCGCAACCAAGGTACATGCCCTTGACCAGAATCGAACCTGGGACCCTTCAGTCTGCAGGTCGACACTCTATCCACTGAGCCAAACCGGTCAGGACATGAGAAGAGATTCTTAAGATTAACACTTTTGCTTTCTATTGGCTGTCTACAAGTAACATATTTCCCCAGTTTACTACCTTGGTTTGAATCTAGATACTCCACATTTTAAATATATATTTTGAAAATATACATTGCTTCCAATATTGTAAAGAACTATTTTATGCTTAGGACATTTCCTGATTGAGGCTTTTAGAAGTCGAAAAGCATCACTATTCATTTTTTTTTTAGTGTAGTTTCTAATTCATATACCTCCAATCTATTGACAATCCCCTCTACTTACATGTGGCTATACATAACTGGAGAACTACCAGATGTGCCTGGCCCCCAAGATCTTATGTTATCATTAACTGCTAAGACAGCTTGTTCAAGATTGAGAATAGGAAAAGCAGACCTCTAAAATTCCTTGCCAATTAAATATCCTTTGCATTCCTACATAATTTTACACAGTTTCAAATAGACTGAAGGAAGACTCTATTATGGGAATGGATAGAGCCAAACAGTTAATACAGTTCTACAGGTAATTACAGATAATAATTATTTGGTGTCTCATCAAGTTTGTTTTTTTAAAAAAATATATTTTATTGATTTTTTACAGAGAGGAAGTGAGAGAGAGAGAGAGAGAGAGAGGCGTAGAAACATCGATGAGAGAGAAACATCGATCAGCTGCCTCCTACACACCTCCTACTGGGGTTGTGCCCACAACCAAGGTACATGCCCTTGACCGGAATCGAACCTGGGACCTTTCAGTCCGCAGGCCGACACTCTATCCACTGAGCCAAACCGGTTAGGGCTCATCAAGTTTTTTTAAATCACATCTGGAAAAGATCATGTTGAAAAGAAAAAAAGTAACTATTCCTCCAGAATCAAGAGAAATTAATCTTTGGCCTTGAATTTATTATTCTACTTATGAAACTAAAGGCTCCACATTTTACTTACTACAGCCTCCTTAAAGGCACTTTAATGACAACCTAGATCAGTGGTTCTCAACCTTCCTAATGCCACGACCCTTTAATACAGTTCCTCATGTTGTGGTGACCCCCAACCATAAAATTATTTTCGTTGCTGCTTCATAACTGTAATTTTGCTACTGTTATGAATCATAATGTAAATATCTGATATGCAGGATGTATTTTCATTGTTACAAATTGAACATAATTAAAGCATAGTGATTAATCACAAAAACAATATGTAATTATATATGTGTTTTCTGATGGTCTTAGGCGACCCCTGTGAAAGGGTCATTCGCCCCCCAAAGGGTCACGACCCACAGGTTGAGAACCGCTGACCTAGATCATCATCCAACCCCATACAATACTTTGACACAGTTTCCAAAAAGTACAATTTTGACTTTATCACATTTCCAATGATGTTTCAGTGATGCCATGACCTTATAGACTGACAGTTGCTTGCATCATCTGTCCTTTTATGTATTCTCTTAGAGAATATTCTTCCATGGAGATAGCACCCTTTGTTAACCTTATGTTATAATCCATTTTCCTGCTAAATGAAACAAAGTTTGATTCTTTGACTGCTAAATACCACCTATAATTAGTTATCAAAAGCAAGATAATTATAGAACTGGTTTATCTTATCCTTCTAACATTTCTATTCATGTTTATACCACTACATAACTATTCAGAGTCACATGTGCCAGGAAATAAAATGCCATATTTATCTTTTTAAAAAAATTATCATCTGAGTACATGCTTAGAGAGATGAGAGAAAGATAGAGATAAAGAGATAGGGAGAGAGAGCAAGAGAGCGAGAGCGAGAGCGAGAGCAAGAGAGCGAGAGAGCGAGAGAGCGAGAGAGAGAGCGCACTATCAATTGGCTGCCTTCTGTATGTGCCTCAGCTACAGACAGAACCCACAACTCAGGCATGCGTCCTGACCAGGAATTGAACTGACAACCCTTCGTTGTACAGGACAATGCTCAACCGAGCCACTCTGGCCAGACTAAAATGCTGTATTTAAAGAAGCAAAACTGACCTGGCCAGTGTGGCTCAGTTGGCTGGGCATCTTCCCATGCACTGAAAGACTGCCAGTTCAATTTCTGATCAAGGCATATGCCCAGGTTTGCGGGCCAAACTGGGTTTTCAGGCTCAGTCCTTGACAGGGGTATGTAGGAGGCAGCTGATAGATGTCTCTCTCTCCCCCTCTCGCTCTAAAGATCAATAAAAACTATATGTTTAGCTCGGCTAGCTCGGCTCTGTGGTTGAGCCTCTACTATGAACCAGGAGGTCACATGCTTGGGTT